GGAACTTGGTCTCTGCCATGCCCAAGGGAGTCCTGCTTCTGGAGGCAGCGTGTGGACTTGAAGACCTTCAAAATCCATGTTTTAAAATGCCAATGGATTAAAATAGTAAAACTAATTTATCTAATTATCCAACTAGAAAGATGAATTGCACAGTGCACAGAGATGCAGACACTGCAAGTGTTCTGTCTCTCAGCCATGGGCAGTAAGAGAGAACTGGAGAGTGGGAGTGACCACCTCACCCTTTATGCCTGTGGCTACAGAGGGAGTGCAGGTGCAGCTCCAATGGACATGCATAGTGCAAGTGCTGCTCCAATGGACACTGCTGCTCAAAAGATTCCAATCTCAGATGCACGGGGGATATGCACACCAGAAGTAGAATACATGTGCAGTCACTTGAAGAAAAATCATAGTAACTTCTGCATGTTGTGGTAGCTTTCCAGCAAAGGAAGGATGGGCCGTGGTTGAGACCTGCTTTGACACCCAGGGGCACCTTAGCCACTAAATTTCTTGTGGATCTGAAGTAGACCTTTTTGTTTGTTGAATGTTTCTCACAAGCAGGAAATAGTAACAAACAAAACCACCATTCCAAAATGTGAGCCAATGGCGCTAGTAAATGCTAGCATAGAAGAAAATTACAAGGGGAAAGGGGTGAGCTCGAAGTGTCTATTGTTGCAGCACAGTGCTGTATATTTAGATGATGGGCAACAGAACAGTCTAACAGTCTTTCTAGTTGGTAAAGATTGGTACTGGGGGAAATTGACCTATTAAATGTTTACCCATAGCACACCATTTACCCACAGCAAAGTGGAAAGAGGCCTTACAGGTCATTGAAGAAATGTACCAGGAAGACATAATTGAGCCTTCAGTGAATCCTTGGGCCTCACTCATAGTTCTGGTTAGGAAAAAAATATCAGCACCAGATTCTGTGTAGACTATAGAAAATTAAACATACTACTTTAAAGAATTCTTATCCATTACCACAAATAGATCATACCCTGGATGTTGTATCAGGTTCACTTTTGGTTTTTCACACTGGATCCAAAGTGGGTAGTGGAAATGGATTCACAGAATGAGATTATGATATCCTGTGACAATTTAAAGTGATGGTTTGGGGCTTGTCCAATGCTCCTCCCATATTTGAAAGGCGAATGGAGAGAATATTGCATGGCAGGCCTCTCTTAGCCTTGGGGTTATACCTAAATTATATATCATGGTATATGCTGAAAACCTTTGGACAGGAACTGATACAGTGACAAATTTAAGGCTGCCAATCTGAACCCAAAGAAATGTGAAGCATTTCAAAGAGAGATACTTTTCCTCAGGCACACAATCAATCAATGAGGGGGGAATTTGCATTGACAAAAAGAAAACTGAGGCTTTGAAAGGCGTTTTGAAAATGGACACAGATGCTAGTGCTTATGTTTAGGGGCACTATTGGATTTGAGATGGTGGTGACTTATTACTGCAGAAGTCTAACTCTGAGCTGTGATGCACATATACCACACAAGTGCTGCATATGCTTCTCCTTTTCAAAAAGGACTCAAATGTACAGAGGGGCTTGTGTGAAGGGCTTCCTCAGCACCAGAAGGTGACAAAACTACTCCATCAGCCCAGACTACCGCTCAGAGCCTCTGGTAAACCAACAGGCCACACGAGACTCCAGAACCCATTTGGCATCAAGGAAATCCCATTCAGCCAGAACCTCCTTAATGTCTTCATGCCAATCCTCTGAAGAGAGAGGATGGAAGGAGGGTTGCTCTTGTGGTAACTGGAGATACAGATCTTCTACACCAAATGGTCACTAGCCAACCTCTGCAAAATCTCTAGATGCCAGCAACACACCCAGTACTGGCAACCAAAGGTTGAATCATCCAGCACCAAGGCAGCCAACACTGAAGCCAGCAGCACAAGGGTGCTCTTTGGATTGCCCCACACTGATCCTGGAAGTCCTGATACCAACAGAGTACGGTCAGACTGAGATTTTCACCTATGATACCAAAAGCCTCAGCTCTGCCATCCTCCATCCTGGGTTGTTTCAGGTAGGGGGGAAATTTGATGATGGAGTCAAGTATTTGTTTGATGCAGTCCTGTTTATTTACAAAGAATGTAAATAAAGTGCTGTTTTCCTGAAGACAGAAGGAATCAAAGGAGACAGTTTCTTTGCTTACAGTTTCAGGCCTCTCTCCAGCCAGCACTCTAACCAAAAGCTCTCTCCTTTTACTTTTTTCTTAAGGTCATGCTACAAATGCTTTTCTGAGCTTCTTTGCTGCCTTCTCTGTTTCTGTCGTTTTTCCTGCTTCTCGTTCACACATGCAGCTCCATCAAACATTATCCAGCCTCCTGCATTTGCATTCAGCCTCCAGTCAAACCTCTACCCACATAGCTCAGATTCCTAACAAGCCTTGCAAGTGGTCAGTTTTGGGTGGTGACTTCTATTGTTTCAGCTATCAGTTCCAAAAATTGCTTTTTACATTTATCCTGAATAAAGGGCAGCTGTTATGCCCACCAGCTTCAACAAGATTTCACCCAACCCCCAGCATAGCAAAATCCTTCTTCAGTGCACGACAATACCCTTTAAATATGCAAGTAATCATTTGATGTCAGTGGGACTACTCATGTAATTAAAGTTACACACATCCTTTAATACCTCCCTGAATCAGGAACAGAGGGAAAATCAAGGCTGATAGAGGCTATTATGATGAACTAATCCACTTTACCACTAGTATAAAATTTCAGCCACTACTGCATAAAGATTCCATATGGAAGCATACTGTAACTCAGTACTACTGATTGGAAGGGAACCAATTATCTGAAGAAAACTGGAATGAGAATGGTTATTAATACTGCTTCAGTTAATTTAGTGTTACACTTTTAAGAAGTTGGAGTTCAAGGTGACAATTCTCAAACTTGTAAAAAAGCATTTCTGGCAGCATCTGCAACTAAAACAACTATTAGTAAACTGGTTTGGCCCTCATGCTTTCGTAGCTATGGATGTACTTAAATTCATCCAGAACATTGTGTCTTGCAATACACCAACAGAACCTATGTCTCATTAATTCAATTTAATATTGATAAATTTCAATCAGTGTGAGAGGGAGGGTGTGGGAATTATGCAGCAGAATGTTATAGACCGCAATAAAAGAAGTTTCTATTGACTTATAGCTCTATTTGATCCAGCAGGGGAAAAAACACACACACACACACACACTCTCTCTCTCTCTCTCTTTCTTTCTCTCTCTACTGGACCCTGTCCTGTCAGTGTCCCTCTATATAAAGTGGACATCAGTGACAGATCAAATGTCCACGATGCAGGGGCGCCCTAGGCATGGAAACTATTGCATATGTTATGGAGTTCTCAAATTACAGAATTCTGGAAGGAGAATTAATTTTATGCTAGGATGTGATATTGCTTTCTACCAGAGGTGGGTGGGTTTGTTTGGTTTTTGTTTGTTATTGTGGGTAGGTGGGAGTGCCTTACCATTAGAATTAAAACTAATGGTCTCAATAAAAATAGCTCCTTCAAGCTACATCAATGATGAAAAGAATGGTCTTTCAATACCAGTAATAAAAAACTTCACAATTAGGAATACATACAATGGGCTTAGTAATATAGTGGCTCTCAACAAATGAAGTACTTGCAAATGAAGAGAACTACTAACATTTAATATTATGTCTTCATGGTGGAAATGTCTGCTTAACAAAACATTAAAAAGAAGATGTCCGTATTCCTCTCTCTACTTGGTAACTAATGGGTTTTTTAAAAGTACATAAATGCTCTGACTCCATGCTGTGTGCGCCACTGTCTAAGTTGTGGCTATAAGCAGCAGTAGGTGCATTGACCGTTTGTCACTGTGAGGGGTTCCCTAATAATGGGAAAAGTATCCACAGAAAATCGTATGGGATTTCTTCCTCAGAAACTGAAAAATAACATTGGAACTCTCCTGAGCCCTCCCTAAAGTTTTGTAGGACTTCTCACTATGCTTGTAGCTATCTACTCAACTGTATAGCCCAGATTCTTCATGGTGTCCTAGCTGCACTCACTGCAATTCAGGACAGTGGGAAGGGAGGCAAAGATGGCGTCATGCAACAATTATGGTCTTCAGATTCTGGGGTGTGTTTTGGGTTTAGAGTGTATCCCTGCCTGGCCAGGGAAAAGTATAGTGTCTGGTATGGCTAGTGCAGCCATGCCCACAGCCTCAAGGGTTCATTCATCAGCCAGAAAGAACTGGAGTACAAAGTTGCTCCAGCCGCTCTCCCATCCCTCGACCATCTTTATGTCAGGGACTGAAAGGTAGGTGGAGTACAGCCACTATTCCAGTTATATTCCTTCTGGTAATTCCCCTTACAAAACAGGACTACCCATGTAACTGGTTTCCAGGTGGTTTGTGACTGCATAGTGGTGCAAAACAACCAGAGCAGGGGGCCCAGAATTGGATCCTACATCTTTAAGGATGGTGTAGAAGACAACAGAACGAACACTTTTATAGGTCAAGATTTGTGAATAGTCATTTCCGTCCGTGATGACAGCAATATTCCTTGTCTTCTCAGTTACCAGAGGGTTCCATCTATCTAGTTAAACTGGTTATATTTGTAATATTCTTTTTAACCTCAATTTTTGTTATATTTATGATGGGCAGAGAGAGATTCCAAGATCCTGCACCCTTTGAGATTCATGGTAAAGCTCCCATTGACTTCAGTAGTGCAGGATTGAGCTTCAAAAGAGGGAAGACTTTTTTCCAGGTTTCTTTTCTTCTATGGGATATGCAATAGTTTGAGGTAGTTTTCAGCACATAGTGACTGTTACTGAATTGTCTATAATTTTAGTATTCCTTTAATTGAAGAATTGTTGAATTAAAAGCATAAAATAGTTATTTACATTCCACTAACCTATTCTGGTATTAAAAAATACATCAGGAATGTAAGCAACAAAGATTGATTTTTTTATTTTGACATTAAAATCAGAATGACATCAACATTTGAGATTCATTTATGTTGAATTCCACACTTTCTTAATATTCTACTGAAGTATAATGTTCAGCTCCTCAGTAAGTGGTACAGAAATCTGTAGGGTGAGTTTCTGTGGAAAAAGTGAAACAAATGTAATTAAGAAATGTATGCTAAGTTAATATAAAGTTCAGCTCCAAAGCTAAGAACAAGAACATAAGTTTGAGTATAGACCGCTATAAGACCTTTCACTTGACCCTATAGGCAAGATGCAGTCGGTGACAAACTGGATGTAAGTTCTGAAGAGAAGTCCCTAAATTCTTTAGCATTTTGGTGAAAAATTCTGGAAATTCTGCAGCAACTTCAAATAAATTAATAAAATGAATTAAATGTGAAAATTAAAAAACAAATCAGAGTAGTAGTCCCAATGTTAATCTGATACTAAATTTAATTTATTTTATGCTGTCTCCTTATTTTCAGTTTCCATATTGCCACAGATTCTTATCTTTAGGTTTCAGAAGCAACAACCCATTATGATGAATGGGAGAAATTTCATAATCAGCCTTTTTTTTTTCCAGGTTCCTTACAAATTTGAGTACACATTACTGCATTAACCTTGAACATGTGACCAAGTGTAATCTCTGCGACTATGAGAGCTAGAAGAAGCAATCTTTTGTAAAAGAATCTACAGCACAATTCTACATGAAGGGGTGAATTCTGTGGCAAATTCGGTATCCTGAGAATAAAGGGGTTGCCTATAAGCATTTCAACATTTATAATTTTGTATGAACTCATCCAACAATAAATCTTATGTATTCTGGCTGATACTTTATGTGCAATGGTATTAACATCATACTAGAGTAGGAGTAGTGCCTAAAATAATTATAATTCATCAAGGATAGTTCTATACAAGCACTTAACTTATATATTGATTTTAGTAAGGCTTTTTGACATAGTTCCACATGACATTCTCATAAGCAAACAAGGAAAATGTGTCTGTACACAAGGGAAATTGCTATAAGGTGGGTGCACAACTGGTTGAGTATGGTCTTTCAAAGAGTAGTTATCAATAGTTCACTGTCAAACTGGGAGGGTGTCTAGTGGAGCCCCACACGGGACAGTCCTGGATTCGGTACTATTCAATGGATAATGGAGTGGAAAATAAGCTTGTAAAATTTGTGGATGACACCAGGCTGGGAAGGTTTGCAAGCACTTTGGAGGATAAGATTAGAATTCAAAATGACCTTGACAAATTGGAGAATTGGTCTGAAATCAATAAGATGAAATTCAGTAGAGACAAGTGCAAAATATTACCTGTAGGAAGGAAAAATCAAATGTGCAACTACAAAATGGTGAATAACTGGCTAAGTGGTAGTTCTGTTGAAAAGGCTCTGGGCATTATAGTAGATCACAAATTTAATATGAGCCATCAACATGATGCAGTTGCGAAAAAGTCAAATATTCTGTATTTACAGGAGTGATGTATGTAAGACATACATTGTCCCACTCTGCTCGTGCTGGTGAGGCCTGAGCTGGAGTAGTGTGTCCAATTCTGGGTGCCATGCTTTAGAAAGAGATGTGGACAAACTGGAGAGTCCAGAGGACAGAAACAAAAATGATAAAAGATTTAGAAAATATGAAAAAAAAATTGACATGTTCAGTCTTGAGAAAAGAAGAGGGGAGACCTGATAAATATGTTAAGAGCTGTTATGCAGAAGATAGTGATCAATTGTTCTCAATGTCCATTTTAGTTGTAGTGGCTTAATCTGTAGCAAGGGAGATTTAGGTTATATATTAGGAAAACTTTCTAGCTATAAGGGTCATTAAATTCTGGAATAGGCTTTCAAGGGTGGTTGTGGAAGCCACATTATTGGAGATTTTTAAGAACAGGTTGGATAAATACCTATCAGTGGTGGCCTGCATTTGTCCTGCCTCAGCGCAAAGGACTAGACCTGATGACTGCTTGAACTCCCTTCCAGCCCTACATTTCTAGGAGTCTTAACAAGTACAAAACCCTCTTCTTGCAGTATTCCAAAAGAATCCGATCTACCCCCTTTCTCGTAGAGAGGGCTGGATCCATCCAAAATAAGCATGAGCAGCCACCATCCCACGGAAGTTATAGAGCTTCCTGAGCTACCTAGCCTGAAGATTAATCCAACTCCCAAAAAGCAAACAGTAACAAGAGGAAGGCTCTAAGACTGGCAGCAGCCCTAATAAAATACCAATTAGCCCCCAACAAAGTGATCCGTGTCGAAGAGGAAGAAGGACCTTCCTACTCTCAGGTCATTTTTGTTTATAATTCAACCCAGCTAGCAGAACTCCTCCATTGTTCCTCCTGCACCCATTACATGGGGATTTCTACAGCTCTTAAGGTGTAATATTCTCGTGGGCTGCTGTACAGCTTCAGATGTGTGGGGGTGGGAAATGGTAAACAGTCCTAACAATTAGAAATAGTGGCGTACAGGAGATGGGGAGTTCATTACACACTAAACAGATTGTTGTTGATTTTCTTCCAGAATAAAATGTAAAGAATCTGTTTTAAAATGTGAAAAAAGAGATGCATAATTATAGTGAAACAGACTATGTCACAGAATGCAAACTGTAATGCACAGCACCACTAATGATTCTGTCCGTGATATTTTTCCAGAACCTCATTGTTCTGCCAGGTATAATATTTCCCTACTTTTCACCACTTGTTACCAAGAAATCTGTATATAAATAGAAGTTTTCTTCTCCATAATCTGCCTGCTCCTCCTGATTAATTCATCCATTAAAGCTCCAGAACAGCATTCGTAGTATCATACTATAAAGGCATCTCTGGTAATGAATTCTGTGAAATCAGAAATGTTGGCTCACAGCATCACCAAATGAATGAGCTAGGAGGAAGAAGCTGATTATTAAATAAACTGTTTCTATTTATACACAAATACCTTAGGGCTCTAGTGTGTATTTATACACAGCCCACAGTAAAAGGCACCGCAGAGACAAAATTCCTTTCTGAATTCTCTAGTGCACAGGGAAAGCATGCTTCCTGCTATATCCCCTCAGGCTCAAGGAGTATAGTTTAATCCCTTGGCCATGCAGGTTCCATTCTAAGTGCAAGGATAGCAATTGTGCCTCATCCTTAGGCAAACCATACAAAGTCTCCTGTACACTGACACCCATGTCAAGTCCTGGCATATCTGTGCATTTGCAATCAGTAACAGTATAGTCCTTGTAGGATCCAGAAGTAACCCATCAGAAGCCTGTACAGGACTTGGAACAGATCTATTTTTTCTTCCCATCATGCTCTTCTAAAGTTGTTTTCACCACTATTGTTCAGATATCCTGTTCTATGAAGAGGTATTCTTCATACCAGACTGCTAATCTGAGAAGCTTTTTGTAATTATTAGAGTCAAACTTCCTAGGAGCAGTAAAGCTTGTAACGTGAAAACAGTCGTTGAACATTCAACCATATTGAATCAATACCCCACAAAAGCTGCATTTAATATTGACTAGTTTTTTTTCTTATCAACTGGAATTTCTTTCAGACTCTTTCCCATACACAACCCCTCCCTGAGTAGGAATTATTTATGTTTCTAATAGCAAGGACCACTTCTTTGTTCTTGCACAGCATATTTTATTTTAACAGAGCCTCAGGACTGCGCGAAAGTAGTGAGGTCTGTGCCTGTTTTTGTTTGTTTTTAAATACACTGGTTGTAAGTTTCTTAGGGCTTGTCTATACTTACCGCGCTGGTTCGGCGGCAGGCAATCGAACTTCTGGGTTCGATTTATCGCGTCTAGTCTGGACGGATAAATCGAACTCAGAAGTGCTCCCCGTCGACTCCAGTAATCCTGCTCGCCGCGAGGAGTACGCGGAGTTGACGGGGGAGCCTGCCTGCCGGGTCTGGACGGCGGTAAGTTCGAACTAAGGTACGTCGACTTCAGCTAAGTTATTCACGTAGCTGAAGTTGCGTACCTTAGTTCGATTTGGGGGTTTAGTGTAGACCAAGCCTTAGAACTCCAAAATGGTGAATTTACTGCTGAGTTTTCCATAGTAGAAACAGACTCAATCAACTGGGCAAGGCTGATGGCAAAGATGTGATGGATCTCTGGCTGGGAGAAACATATTCTGCTGTTTTAAAGTACTAGATGGTTCAATTAATGTAATTTTTGTGGGGTTGGAGACTTAGCTACCACATGCTATTGAGTGGCTATTCCTTGTAATTTTAAATAATTGTTAGGGCAGTGAGATCTGGGGTAGCTGTCTTGTTTGTGTTTAAAAACAAAAAAGAATTATTTTGGAACAACTTCTGACATCTTTGTTGATCTCTTTTTTTTGTTTTCATCTGTTTCCATGCTGTTGTACTAGGGGCTTGCTTGACTGGTTCTTTCCAAACATATTTCTATGGAGTTTATTCTCCTCTCCCACTCCACATTAAGTTTGTGCTGCTTTCAGCTTATTCAGACACAGTTCTGGTGTTAAAAAATTTCCTTTGAGGGGATTCTGATAACAGTTATTTATGGCATTTTCCTCTAAAAGTGAGTAATCCATTTTTCTTCAAGGCAGAAACTTATTCTCTAATTTTGTTTGCTCAATGGATTTCTTCAGTAAGAATAATAAGAGTAATAAGTAGTGTAACATAGCAAAAACCCTGTATCTATTGCTTGATAGTTTGACTATCTCTCTTTGATAGGCGTAAGCCCTTAGAAACACCTCTTTTTACCTCCACTGATGAAAAACTATGGGAAAAATTTGGGCACCATACACCCCTTGCCAAGTGCGAAGCCCAGCTCTGCAGGGTGTTTGGGGATGGAGCATAGGTGGAGAGGTTACCAAGGTGGGAGGATCTTCCACTGTGCTGATCCTGTCTTTTCCCCTGTGGAGAAGGAGGCTAAGGACACAGAGGATACTCCAGTTATTGGGAATAGCCTTGGTTTCTCTTTCACAACCAAAAGGAGGATTCCTCCATCTTCTATGTAGAGACCTAGATGAGACACTATGTTGGGGCACTGGGTTTACCACTTAGCATACTATGGTAGTTACAGCTTGAATCACTAGTTGATATTAAAACAAATTAATTTATAAAACAAACATTTTAAATAGAACCATAGAAATGTAGGACTGGAAGGGACCTTAATAGTTCATCTAGCTCAGTTTCCTGCATTGAGGCAAGACTAAGTATTTCTAGACCAGCCCTGACAGGTGTTTGTCTAACCTGTTCTTAAAATCCTCCACTGACAAAGATTCCACAACCTCCCAAGGCAATTTATTCCAGTGCTTAACTACCTTGACAGTTAGGCGTCTCTTCCTAATGTCTACCCAAATCTCCCTTGCTGCAATTTAAGCCCATTACTTCTTGTCCCGTCCTCAGTGGTTAAGGAGAACAAATTTATCACCCTCCTCTTAACAATGATCTTTTACATACTTGAAGACTGTTATGTCCCCTACTCTCTGGTTTCTCTTCTCCAGAAGAAACAAACCCAATTTTTTCAATCTTTCCTTGTATGTCATGATTCATAGATCTTTAATAATTTTTGTTGCTCTCCTCTGGACTTTCTCCAACTTGTCCACATCTTTCCCGAAATGCAGTACCCAGAACTGGACATAATACTCCAGTTGAGACCTTAGCAGTGCTGAGTATAGTGGAAGGATTACTTCTAGGGTCTTGGTTACAACACTCCTGATAACACATCCCAGAATGATGTTCACTTTTTTGCAAAAGTGTTACCTTGTTCACTCATATTTAGCTTGTGATCCATTATTACCCCCAGATCCTTTTCTGCAGTACTCCTTCCTAGACAGTCATTTCCCTTTTGTATTTGTGCAATTGTTATTTCTTCTTAAGTGTAGTACCTTGCATTTTTCCTTATTGATTTTCATCCTATTTATTTCAGACCATTTCTCCAGTTAGTGAAGATCATTTTGAATTCTAATCCTATCATCCAAAGCACTTGCAACCACTCCCAGCTTGGTATCATCTGCAAATATTATAAGTGTACTCTCTTTGCCATTGTCCAAATCAGGGGTCGGCAACCTTTCAGAAGTGGTGTGCAGAGTCTTCATTTATTCACTCCGATGTAAGGTTTCGTGTGCCAGTAATACATTTTAACGTTTTTAGAAGGTCTCTTTCTATAAGTCTATAATACATAACTCAACTATTGTTGTATGTAAAGTAAATAAGTTTTTTAAAATGTTTAAGAAGCTTCATTTAAAATTAAATTAAAATGCAGAGCCCCCCAGACCGGTGGCCAGGACCCAGACAGTGTGAGTGCCACTGAAAATCAGCTCGCATGCTACCTTTGGCGCGCGTGCCATAGGTTGCCTACCTCTGGTCCAAATCATTTATGAAGCTATTGAATAGAACCAGACCCAGGTTTACATGTGAAGATAGGAAAACACCCACTAAAATTAACTATATCCATTTTTCTAGGACATTCTGGGCACTCATTTTTGATAAAATATCTGAAACATGGGCCTACTCCATTCATTTTTTAAGTAGCTGCTAAATAACATTGTGGCAGATTTTCTCATGCTGTTGGAATAATATAACACAACAGTAGCAGCTAATATTTCTCCATAGCTCTAAGTATGGTATGACTATCATAATACTAGAATAACTTGTGGGAATTTGTCATTGTATCACCGTTTTATAAACCTGGAAATGTAGGCTTGTGTAAGTGATAGACACAAGATTAGAGAGACAAAGTAGGTGAGGTAATATTTTATTGGACCAGCTTCTGTTGGAAGAAGGTACATGCTTTCAAGCTACACAAGGTTCTTCTTCAGGTCTGGGGAAGGAAGCAGACTTTTCCCCGACCTGAAGAAGAGCTTGGTGTAGCTTGAAGGCTTGTACCTTCTTCCAACAGAAGCTGGTCCAATAAAAGATATTACCTCACCTACCTTGTCTTTCTCATATCCTGACCATTCACAACACAGCTAAAAACACAGCAGACACAAAATTAGACAGATGTGTGTCTAATGACAAGAGATAAATTTTCCTGTAACATAACCCAGGAAGTCTTCCATTCTTAAGTTAACCTCATGCTCTACTGTACAAAATCTGATCTCCAGTTATTTTTTTTTAAAGAAACAGGACATGAATGGGAAACTATTAGCATTGTTCATTGGGTTTGGGGAAAAGCCTATGAAAAATCATTTTCATAATTTCTCAGAACAACTCTTACCCCATTTTCTTGATACTGTAAGTCCTTGCCACGGATGACATTTCCATTCAAAACAATAGCATTAGGTCTTGAAGTCACACCAAGAACCTGAACAGTGTTGTATATCAGAGAATCAACTCCACGGTAGCCATTTTTGACAATCTTTGTCCTCATTTGGCCCTTCAATAATTCAGAAGAAGGAATTTTAGATTAATAGTAACTCATTGGAAATTATTTATTGAATACTTGTTCTATTGTTGTATCTCATTGTTTTACTCCATACAGAATGTCCTATAAAGTATACAAATTTTAAAAATAGAAAGGTGAAGATTAGTAATAGTGGACACATTGGGTTTCATATAGAATAAGATTTTGCATATAATTAAAAGCCAGCAAAATAAGAAATAATATTTACAGTATATATATGGAATTTTCTTGCACCTCTTTCTGTTATTTTTGTAGCACTGGTTCTAATCAGGGGTGGCTCCAGGCACCAGCAAAGCAAGCGCGTGCCTGGGGCGGCAAGCCGCAGGGGGCGGCCTGCCTGTCGCTGTGAGGGCAGCAGGCAGGCCGCTTTCAGCGGCGCGCCTGCAGGAGATCCGCTGGTCCCGCGGCTTTGGCGGCAATTCTGCAGCGGGGACGCCGATGGCGAGGCACCGGCGGACCTCCCGCAGGCATGCCGCCGAATCTGCGTGACCAGCGGACTGCCCACAGGCGCGCCGCCGAAAACCGCCTGCCTGCCGTGCTTGGGGCGGCAAAAAACAGAGCCGCCCCTGCTTCTAATACCCCACTCAGATATTACATTGGCAGGTACAGTACCAGAATCTAGACAAGTAGTTTTACTTAGTTAGTTTAAGGCAAGTGTAGCAGTTATTTACAGTATACATGAAGTGTTTTCCAGTTAATGTTTTCTGTGTACATTCGGTACCATATATTTAATCTGATGTTTTTATTATCATAATAGTGCAACTTCTGCTACAAACCCTTTAGTCATCATATTTCACAACTTTAAAGACATTGAGGAACCATATTGTTTCTAGGGAGATGTGTTTCCTAGACTTGTAATATTGTATACTTGTAACCATAAGGCTTTAAATTACTTAAATGAAAATATAAATTTTGGGGACTAACTCTGCAGTCCTTATTTGGGCAAAACTCCTTAATGAGTCCTGAGGAAGTGCTGCAGGATCAAGACCTGTATTTGTAAGTAAATATTTTGCAAATTGAAAGTAGAGAAAAGGTTGTTTTTATTTTTATAAATGTTCCATTAAAATTAGATGAGATGGAATTATACATCAGTAGGGTCTTTTATATATATATAGGAATATACAGCATACACTGAGGACTCTCATATGTTTTAATGTCACACATTTGTCATACATTTGTAATGTAGAATGACTTTTTTTATTTTAACTTCAGTATACCGGTAATAAAAACTTGACGTTGGAGGTTATCAGAATACAGATAGGGATTTCAGACAAAATCAAATATGAGCAATGAGAAATGGAAGCCTCACTAAGTCAACACTCATATTTGCACAGATCCCAATTTAATATAAAACTGTTTGCTCTTTTTCTGTAGTCTGCCTTCAGTAAATTGCTAAATACAGAATTCAGAAAACTAAAGTAATTTTTCCCTCCTTTACATCAAGTGAAAATGCCATTTTTCTTAAGACAACAAGATAAAAGAAGTGGAATTGTTCTCAGTGCATTCAAAGGAAACAGAATTAGATAATGAACCTTAAACACTGGGCAGCATTTGCTGGAATACACAAGAAAATAGTTGATGCCATTCTATTTACAAAAATACCCATCAATTTATTATAATCTGTTATCACTACTAGAAGGAATAATTCTAAGAACAGTATCACCCTTGCAAATTAAGTATAATTTAATTCCTCCAAATAACATCTACTGATGGCAAACTTTTGGGAACGTATGATCTGAAAATCATACCAGTATTCACAATATAGGTTCAAGTAGAGGCTAGGTTATTTTCCCCATTTTCTGAATTATTTAAGTCTTCACCAATATACCTGGTATGTCTTAAATATTTCCTCCTAGAGACTGAATTATAGGTATGTAATGGGATTTACAAACTACATACTGAGCATAGGCAGAAGGGAAAGGAAAATCTTTCCTCCTGATAATCAAACAGCTTGATCACCCCTGCCCCCAGAAACTCAATGTGTGCCAGAACTGCCAATCATGGAGACAGGCAACCAGAGCTGGGACCAATAGAGAAAATAAGACCTGCTATAAAGGGGAGAGACCAAAGAGGGAGAAGGAGGCAGAAAGGACTGACATAGCAAAGGGGCAACAGCCCTGTGCCAGGCTGCCTTTGAGAAAGCAACCAGGAGACAGGAGGAGACTAAAAGCCCTGGACTTGAAATGTTCATAGACTCAATTTTTAAACACAGTGGGACTCAGCCTTTGCTTCTAGAGCCACATGTATCAGCACTTTAGACACTAACTGGTTCTCAGAAAGATTCAGCAGAAAATTATTCACAGGAACCATTACAGTGCAGGGAGTACTGAATAGATGACAGCATGGAACTCACTGAGTTTCCTACTGCACCCACCTGGGAAAGAAGTTTAAAAAGATGCAGTCATCTCCTGCAGGTCAGAGTAACACCTCCTTTCACTCAGCAGCCAAAAGTAATCAGGTGAGAGTGAGGAAAGAGATTGCCTCCCTCCCAGCAGCTATGGCTGGGGAAAAAGGAGGAGGTGAAGAATGTATTGTCAGAATCACCTCATGATGTCCCATCAATACACTATATATCCTGGTGGACATGACATGACACAAGTATTGTGATGCAATATAACAATGTGATTATTTTGTAGCTCTCTCTAACTTTGTTTGACAAAGTGACTCACCAACTTCAGATGTTGAATATCAGCGCCATAACAAAGTTATTCAAAGATAAGGACCAAAATACTTGTTGCTACTTACTTCACTGAATGTATATTTGGCCAAGAAATAGACTTCCTTTTCAATAGAATCTGTCAAAACATAGGATTCATGATATTAAGATATACAGAGTTGAATTTAGTAATAGCCAGCAAATAAGAACCGACAGACTTTTGGCTGCCCGTTCAAATGCTACCTCTACATCTTCAATTCTTCTGCAATAATCTAAGGTAATTTCATAGGAAGTTGAAACCTAAATTATTATCTTTTTATTCCTGATGTGCTTGTTCTGATCTCACGACAGTGTTAAATGAGTGTAGTGCCATTGACTACAGTAGCATCACTCATGATTTGCACCAGTGTGAGATCAGGATCAATTTTCCTGTCACTTACACCAATATATATCAGAAGTAACTCCAGCTAGATCAATGGAGTCACACTGGTGAAAAATTGATATGAGGACAGACAGGTCCCCTGACTGTTTTGCAGTAGTGTAACAAACTTACCAATAGAATCACCATCATCCCAGAAGAGGGACCCAGAGGCTTCTCCTCGTTCATCCAGAGCAATAATAAGTCCAAATGGGTTCAGACGGCTGAGGAGAAATTCAATGAGAAGGATCAATCAATATGCAGGTTCTTTTTCTCCTCCTCAGAGTTCACAGTAAAACTAGAAATGTTGTCATTTCTACAAATTATTAAATCAGATTTTACAACAATAAAAAGAGACCAGAATGTCCACATGCTCACAGAGATGGATCCTTTGCTGGAGCTCCTGAGGAAGAAGACACCAGGTAGCTTTCTGTGGTGGAGCGGGAGCTCCCTCAGAAACGTTGCTGAGGACAAGACTCTCCCTTCTTTGGCAGCTTTGATGTGCCAGTCAGGGCCGGCTCCAGGGTTTTGGCTGCCCCAAGCGGCACAAAAAAAAAAAAAGAACCGCAATCGCGATCTGCGGCGGCAATTCGGTGGGAGGTCCTTTGCTCCGAGCGGGAGTGAGGGACCATCCGCCGAACAGCTGGACGTGCCACCCCTCTCCGGAGTGGCCGCCCCAAGCACCTGCTTGGCAAGCTGGTGCCTGGAGCCGGCCCTGGTACCAGTTATCAGGCAGCCTGGGGGATAACTGAGCTCCCCAAGGCTCAGATTGGCTGCCGCATTGTGTGTTGCAGCGTGTACTAGTTTCCTGTCCCACCTGCTCTTTATATTGGGTTTTCAGTGTGGTTCAGGCATGATCAATTATTTCTTGGGCTGTGTTTGTCTGGAACTACCATTTTGCTTTTGGCTATATGCAAGCCACCTTTTGGTATTAGGAAGAAATTTTCCCCTACAACTGATTGGCTGAGCAGTTAGGGCCTTTCTACTTTCCCCAGAGTATTTGGTAGTTCCAGATAAGAGTGAAGTGGAGATCTAAAGTTTACTCTTTTGCCACATATTTATTGCAAATATGAAGTGACTGGCTGGCCAATGCAGCAGATGCATTTACCTTTCTACTCGCAACTACCAGACTGAGAGTAGGTTTTGGCTGGATCCTGCACTTGTAGGTCAAGATAGTGGAAAGCTTCTCTCAGTGGTTCTCAAACTTTTGACTAAAGCCACCCACCAACTGCATTTTGTTTTTTCTTTTTTTTCGGAAATGCACCATTACATACAGGGCCGGTGAGAGGTGGGGGGAAGCCGGTACAAATTACCGGGGCCCGGCGGTCCGGAAGGGGGCCCGGCTTCCCTCCCTCTCTCATCGGCCCTGTTTAGCCAGTCCACCCTTGCTGGGGGGCCCGAAAAAATGTGGAGGCTAGGCCCAGGCAAGGTGAGTAGAAAGTAAGTCCACCCTGCACTCACCCCAGAGTGGTGGCTCTGTCTTACGGAGCTGGCTCCCCATTCTAGGTTTAGCCTGGCCACCTCTATGTCATGACATCCAGCCCTTAATCTGGTGACTCATCTAGAAACTTCCCATGACCCATTACTAGGTTGGGACCCACCATTTGGGAAATACTGTTCTAGATGCTTTACAGACTGGGGAACCCCTTGTGTGGGTCCTCATACAACACAAGAGCAACTGGTGGGATAAAGGCTTAATCCCCTGTTGTACCAGGAGTTGGCTAAGTGTAGTTTCCCTTATTTGCAATATACTTTGATTGTCATCTATCCATACCACACTGGACTATTTGATTGTAAGGTTGGTTGCTTGATAGCCTTATTTGTCGCCAGTGAATGCCGACTTAAGAAAAGTTGTACCCATTGCTCACCACGCTTATCATGTGTGTGTCTTATCCCCATTGGTGTCCAAGTATATAAACTTGGTTTGAAAATAAATTATTTCAACCGGAGATTCCAAAAGATATGGCCAAGTGCTTAAATTAAAATGTAAGCTTTACACTGGAGGGGTTTCTCTCTTATTACTAATTAATTTTCTGTTTATTTGAAGGATTTCAGCATGACAAGAATAAAACTATCTACTCCTTTCCCCTGCAGCATCCCTGAACAGAAAAATATGGTATAGCCTTTTGAAATAAATATATTATTCTATGGTAGTTACCTCCGAGTAGTAGTTGTGGCTGGTGCTTGTGTTGGCAGAATGTAACCTCCACGGAGAAAGAGTGGGATCTTGTCCAATGGGGCATCAACACTAACATATTTTCTGTGCCAGGAAGCTGGCACTTCATCACCCTACCACAGAAACAAATACAGTTCAAAGCACTTTATTTTAAATCCAGATACTATTATTAATTACCATACAGCTATGAAACAGGTCTGGATTTACACTCATGTAAGTGAGCTAAGAACCTAGCCCCAGAATAAAACCTTGGAATTCAGTGGCATTTCTTCAGATTTGCATCAGCATCTAACAGAATCTGGACCTTGAAGTTATGCATAAGTGGTACACCAAGGACAGAACAATCATGAATAAGATACAGTGAATCATCTTAAAAATTGTGTCATTGTTCAGTATCTTGTGAAAAACTTGTGAATAGTCTCTAATCAGAAAGCAAGAGAGTCTTGTTAATCTTTCTAGGTGTGGAAGCTGTCACATTTCAGTTTTGCGGTAAGAAATTTATAGTCATTTGGAATGAAAACTTTGTTAAATTTTCTTCAGTCTTTGAGGCAAAACAGTATTATAGTACACCTCTACCCCGATATAACAGGGCCCGATATAACATGAATTCGGATATAACACGGTAAAGCAGTGCTCCGGGGCTGCGGGGCTGCGCACTCCAGCGGATCAAAGCAAGTTCGATATAACGCGGTTTCACCTATAATGCTGTAAGATTTTTTGGCTCCCGAGGACAGCGTTATATCGGGGTAGAGGTGTAATTCAAGAACACCATGCTCTTTGTCTAGAAAAAGTCCATTCAGAATGCTGGTGCAAAGATCATTGTCCTAGCCCATCACTTTGAGCATATCACCCCTCTCTCTCCATCTATTCATGGGCTTCCTCTTCTCTACCATATCAAATATAAGATATTTATCTTCACTTTCAAGTATCTTGATGACCTACCTCCACCCTTCTTATCTCTCATTCTATACTGAAAAGTTGTCTCCTGCCTCTGATTGTCCCTTGATGCCAGCCTCCATTGCCTTTGTGCTTTCTCCCATGCTTGGGTATAGTTCCCCATAAATATCAGCAAAACCAATTTATTTTCCTCCAACACCCTCCTTAAAACTTTAAGTCCTGCCATAACAGTCAGCTGAGATGTGGAGCCCTCTGGTGTGAGGTGGTGGGAGTTGAGAAATAGAACTGTTTGAATACTTTCGCTTGGTCTGCTGACAGTTTCAAAACAAATACACACATGAAAAGTAAAAAGAAAAAAAAACTCAACCTGAAACAAATTATTAAAAAAAAGTTCAAACCAAAAAATGAAAACAAAATTTCATCTGGGGTTAATATAAATGTTTTGTTGGATCTGAAATGAAACAGTTTGATTTGGAGTTTTAACTTAAAAAAAATATTGAAGGAAATTTCTAAAAAAAACCAACCCCATTTCAAATCAAATTGAAAATGTCAAAATGAAACAGGATGTTTTAGGATTTGCTTTAAAAAAACCCCACACAGTTTGGTGAAAATGACATGTTTTTAATGCAGATTCAGTGACACTGAAATGTTTTTCACAAAAAAGGTTTTGGCTAAAATTTTTTACCCAGCTCTATTAAGAGGTGAAGTTAGCAATGTGAGCTGAAGGCTGAATCCTGTAGGACTGAGTCCTTATTGAAGGAAAAAGGGGAGAAATAACTTAGACCCCCCATCCTGGAGCCACTGGCTGAATGTGGAAAAATTCACCTATAAAAAAAGGCCCCAAGTGATGATTCTTTAAGAATAAAAATGTCTATGGTTCCAGGCCACTAACATTTTTATTTTTACCCTTCCCCATCTGTAACTGCTCAGGATAGTTAACATTAGCCTTAAACTTCTGAGGTGGAATTTTCAAAGGTGCTTAGCATTGGCCTAAGTCTTCTCTTATTGAAGTCAAAATGAGTTTCACCATTGACTGCAGTAAGAGCAGAGGTAGGCCAGTACAGGGCCAGCTCCAGCGTTTTTGCTGCCCCAAGCGGCGGGGGGAAAAAAAAAAGCCACAATCGGTGGCACTTTGGCAGCAGCTCTACCGCCGCCGCTTCATTCTTTGGCGGCAATTCAGCAGCGGGTCCTACTCTCCCAGAGGGACTGAGGGACCCACTGCCGAATTGCCGCCGAAGAGCCGGACGTCCCACCCCTTCCCATTGGCCGCCGCAAGCATCTGCTTCCTGCACTGGTGCCTGGAGCCGGCCCTGCCAGTTCAAAGCAGTTTTGAAAATTCAACCCTTAGGTATGGAATTATGTATATAGTAATAGAGGCTCTAGAGCAAACACTAAACATTTTCAAGACCCAAGATTTGTGGTCAGCTGGAATGGATTTGATTGCTTGTTTGTGTTTTGTAACTTGGATTGTTCTACACTTCTCTGGGACAATTTTTCAGAGGCCTCAGCCTCATCTGTCAGATTGCCCTCCACAGTTTTTTATGCCAGAATTGTTGTTGTGTGCAAAGTTTTGTATTACTGTGTGCAATCTGCAGTCAGGTGTGCAAATCAGATAAATATATATCCACCTGATTTGTATGCATGAAAGCGGTGTAGCATGCAAATCTGAAACTTATGAATGCAATTAAAAATAGAAAGCCTGACAATTGTAGGCATGATTTTATAGGCTGCTCTGGAAAATTCAGCCCACTGTGTCTTAGTGCTGTATAAACCAAAAATAGAAAATAAAATGCTACTGAAAGCTGAGTAATTTTCTTGCTCAATTAGCCAGCCTGGTGCAGAAGTTTTTTTTTTTTTTCTGGATTTCTTCACCACAGATGCTTTGGGAAAAGATACTGCTGAGCAGTGCTAAAAATTAATTTGACTTAGACTGTAACATTTTAAATTATGTTCAAACTGTAAGAAATTGTAAGCTTTTAAAATACATACTGTATAGTAGTCAAACCAGGATGCTTCAGGGAAATATACATCCACCGATCTTGCTCCCTGTAATGGTCATAAAAGTAGTTAAACTATTTTTTCCACATTTTTGACAGTATATTGCTAAATTAATTTTTTGTTTTGTGCTTAAATATCTGTATACTCAATATTTATTTAAGGTAAAATCTTGGATATTAATAAGTGTTACTAATGTGGCAATAATACTAGATCTGACTAATCTAGCAGTGCTTGCCAGCTGCTTGCATCATGCTGAGTTTAGCTCATATCAGGTCTATTGGATGAGTCCATGGCACTGTCAGATTAATTATTTTAGCCCAGTATCCATGCTGCAGGCCCCGATCCGGCAAACACCAATGTATATGACTTCAGTGGGACTAATCCCATGCTTAGAAGTTTCGCACGTGTCAATGCCTTCAGGATCAGGGCCTTAGATTGGATAATGAGTGAGGTTACACAGATGTTGATGACACTACTTGAGGGGAAAGGCCTCCTTATAAGGGGTAGGTATGAGACACCCAGTTTGGAATGCTTGACTCCTCCCAGGGGGGAAGTGACAGGAAGCAAGGTTACATAGATCTCTCTGCCTAGGACTCTTCTTTACAATATTTTACAGTGTCATTTTAATAGGTAATTTATTGCTAACTGCACAATTACTACTTTATATTTGGTGACATGTTTATAACTGAGTTTCAGAGAAAAAGTCATGTTAATTCTAAAAGTGCTTAGTATAGGATTACTCTAGAAAAAGTTTGAATCAAAAGAAGTAGATATGTATGTTCTTGCATCAAAATAGACTCTCATTCTCATGTATAAAATACCCTGGACTCTCCACGTGCACATCTCCCCCTTTCCATGCAGAACCAGGGTTCAGCTGCCAGGGAACAGGTGGACCATGGCATGGATGGTCCTAGCCAACCACAGATCCACTAGTTTGGGGTAGGAATCTACCCCATTGGAAGATATTTCCTTCCTAAAGCCTCCTTTCTTGGGTTTTTAAAGCAGGAGGAGATGATCTGACCCATTACTTACAAAGTAATCTGCAGAAACATGCAATTACCATGAAGGCATGTGAGTAAATCTTGAAAATTTTACATCACATATGGGAATAAGCATATATTGCACAGATAGCTGAACATATAATTTGGCCTATTTAACTGAGTACAAAATAAATAGTGTAGTGGTGATTGGAAATGTATTGACAGAATGGGACTATGACAAAGTCACCCATCTGAAATGTTTAATGGAAAACTCTTGAAGTTGCCATCATGCCTGGGCAAATTTAAACAAATTGAAGGAATGTCTAAGAATTTATTGATTTATTAAAGCATGAAAATCTTCAGTTAGACATAAGAATTAATATACAGGATCAGAACCAAAGTCCCTCTACTCTCCTATCTGACAGTACCCATGACCAGATCCCCCCAAAAAGTGCAATAATCCCACAGTAAGCAGCTGCATGGCAATCTGACCCTCCCAGGTCTCATCCTGATCTCATCATTAGAGATTGCCTTAAATCCTGAAGCATGGGATTCAATACCCCTTCTAAAATTATAACAACTCTGATAGCCATAGAAATGTTCAATACCTTTTTGATTCTTGTTAAGTTCTTGACCTCAACAACTTCCTGAATCTAATCACACATTGTGTGAAAACAAATTTCCTTTATCAGTTTGGAATACGCCACATTTAATGTTATTAAAAGTCCCCTTGTTTGCATGATATGAGATAGGGAGAACAGAAGTCCCTGATCTGTCTTCTCTAGACCAGTTATGATTTTATATACTTTTATCATATCCCATCTTACTCATCTCCTCTCCAAGATAAACAATCCTAGTTTTTTCGCTGTCTCTTCATATGAGAGTTTTTCCCAGGTCCCTGATCATGCTTGTCACCCTTCTCTGAACTCTCTGTGAACTCCCCCAGTTAGTCATTAGCCTCTATATTCTTAACAGCTATTTGAAAATGGAGGACTCCAAGAAGGCTCAGAAAGCAATCTTCCCCGGTGGTAAAAATTATTTGATACATAGGAATAATAATTTCTCTTTGAACTTCAGAGGCACAAGTTTAAGAGAAAAATATGTGGCAAACAGCAGCCTGCTTGGGGCTAGACCTACAAAAGGGACTTAGATTCCGTTTTGAAAGGCCTAATGTATAGGCATCCTGAAGCCTAGGGGATTCCACAGCCCTGAGTAAAACACCGAGGCTCTCTATAGAATGCATGGGGAGAGTTAGGTACCTAAGAATAGGAGTCACAAAAACCAACAAGCTGCGTGGGGAGCCGCTTAATGCCGAGGAAAGGCATTCCAGGTAAGCGCTCTAAGCACTGAACTATAACAATATAAGGGGGCCACTCCTGCCATAACCACCTCTTTGTCCTCCTCCAGCTGTGCTTTGTGTGGGGACTTATTCCAAACAGGAATTTACATAACTACAAATATAACTATTCATAATGGCTCAACCCCTCTTCCCAGTGCTCACGCAGCCTTGCTGCTGAGTATCAAGAAAGTGGTAGTGCGGGGGAGTGTCAAAAGGTGTTGTGCCTCCTCTGTTGCATGGTCTACTAGCCAGCATGGCTCTGCTGTGGCCTGCCTCAGTTTCCCCTTCATTTATGGCCCCTTAAGTCCAGATGTTCAAAACATTCCCTCTTCTGTGCTCCAATGTAGTAAGTCCTGCATAGTCTTTCAAAAGAAAACTCAAACTTATGAAGTCTTCGTCCCAGTTTCAGATGGGCCCAGCTCCTCCTCCCTGAAGGTCTATCCTCTATTTAAGGTTCATTTCTTTCACCCCAGTCCCAAGGTGGGCACAGCCCCTCCTCTCTCTGAGAGTCTGTCTTCCCCTCAAGGTTCAACCACCTTTCTGTTCCAGTTTCAAGCTAGGGACAGCCCTTCCTCCCTGAGATCCAGCTTCCTGCCCCTCCCCCACTATCGCTTGCCTGTAGTTTGGCCTTCTTCACGGGTCATCCCTAGTGGTATCTTCTGCCTGCTAACTCAGAGCCCTGCAGGAGCCTTCTTATTCCCTGCAGCGTCTGCAGCTATCTGCCAACAACCTGCAGCTGTCTCCCCTGTTCTAAAGCCCAGGTGCACTCCATTAAGCCTCATTGGGCAGTGGGTAATTAGTTCAGGTGCAGAATAAGGATGGCAAGCAAACCCGCTCCGCAGCTGGTACTTCAGACTCAATGGTAGAAAAGAATCAGTGGTCCTAATGGCCTCACACAACAGGGGGAAATGTCCTGTGCATCCACAGGACAGTGCTTTTTTTAAACCAACCAGATAGTAACTAACTAATGTTGTCATTAGAGAGCCATGGTGAGTGAGGTAATATCTTCTATTGGACCAACTGCTATTGGTGAGAGAGACAAGCTTTTGAGCTATATAGACTTGAAGAAGAGCTCTGTGTGGCCCGAAGGCATGTCTTTCTCACCAACAGCCTGGGAGCTGTAGTTCCTTGGTTAGCTCCCTGCCTATAGAGCCAGCCCTGGAGCAGGGAAAGAACTACATTTCCCAGCATTCCCTTGGCCACTACTAACAGGAAAGAGGGGGAGGGAGTGAGGAAGCTGAGACCTCATGCTGCAGCCTGCTGTGAATGGAGAGCTGCACTGTGAGTAGGGATAGCATATTTTAACATGCAAAAAATAGGACACTCCACGGGGAGGCCCACCCTGCCACCATCCACTCCCTCCAACTGCCCCCCACAGAAACCCCAACCCATCCGACCCTTGCCCCAACTGCCCCCCAGGACCCTATCCCCTATCTAAGCCCCACTGGTCCTTGTCCCCAGATTGCCCCCTCCCGGAACCCTACCCCCTATCTAAGCCTCCCTTCTCCTTGTCCCCAACTGCCCCGTACTGAGATCCCCCCAACTTCCCCTCTAGGACCCCACCCCCTACCTGTCCCCTGACAAACCCCTGGGACTCCCATGCCTATC